AGAGTGTGCATGCACGAGTGTGTGAGTGTGTGTGCATAATTGAATGAGTGAGTGTATGCGTGCATGAGTGTGTGTGCATGCATGCATGAGTGAGTGTGTGTGCATGCATGAGTAAGAGTGGGTATGTGCATAATTGAATGAGTGTGTGTGCATGAGTGTGTATATGCGTGAGTGTGTGTGCGTGCATGAGTGAGTGAGAGTGTGTATGTGCATAAGAGAATATGTGAGTGTGTGTGCGTGCGTGCATGAGTGTGTGTGTGCATGAGTGAGTGAGAGTGTATGTGTATAAGTGAATATGTGAGTATGCATATAAGTGAATATGTGAGTATGCGTGCGTGCATGAGTGAGTGTGTATGAGTGTGTGTGCGTGCATGAGTGTGTGTGTACATGCATGAATGTGTGTGTGTGTGTGCGTGCATGAGTGAGTGAGCGTGTGTATGTGTATAAGTGAATGTGTGAGTATGCGTGCGTGCATGAGTGAGTGTGTGTGTGTCTGTGCGTGTGTGCATGCATGCACTTGCACGTTTTACTAAGGGACAAATCCAGGGCTTTATAAATGCTGAAGATGTAATCTTTTTTTTTTTTAAAGACAGGGTTTCTTTGTAGCCTGTCCTGGAACTAGCTCTTGTAGACCAGGTTGGCCTCAAACTCAGAGATCTGCCTGCCTCTGCCTCCCCAGTGCTGGGCTTAAAGGCGTGCGCCACCACTGCCCAGCTTGAAGATGCAATCTTCAAACCAGGCCAGTAGATGCTGGGGATCCAAACGCGGTTCTCGTGCGTGCACAGCATGCAGCCAACTGAGCCACTTACCAGCTCCTTTAATTGGCTTTTTATTTGTTTTGATGTTTTCCTCATGATTAGACTAGAGCTACACATTTTGAGGAAGAAGAACACAAAAGGAAGTGCCACTTCCCTCGTGTCGGAAGAATGTACCATCACTGGAGCCCACATGTCCACATAAACCACAATCACCCTTTTCTTTAAGCATCTGCCGTATTTCGATATCATCATTTAACTTCCTCGTGGATTTAATGCTAGTGTTTCTTCTCTCCACTAAAACAAGCTCTAGGAGCTCGGAATTTCTGATTATTTTGCTAAAGCACATTAGATTCTCTGTCTGTCTGTCTCTCTCACAGATGCATATTGAGCATCTATCCCTCACCTACACTGCCTGCTGCTTTATTTCTCCTCACTTCTGTCGAAGCTAGAGAACTCTTCACATAAACTCAGGCTCACACCACACCCTGGGTTTTTCTGTGCTGCAGTGACCAGCCAGTCTCACAAATTCATCGTAAGCTCCGAGGAACCCGAAGGCCAGCCACAGTACCTTTGCCCTCCCATACAATCACTACATCAGCAGTTTTTGGGGAATCCCTTTTCTCGACTTAAATTTTTGGGAATTGTATCTTTACTTGTAGTCTACTTCTTCAAATATACTTCACTGTCTATAATTGAAGACGTCTTAAAGGTTGCCTCATTTGGCTTCAAATTAACTATAATAATAATAGTAATAATAATAATAACAACAACAGCAACACACAGGTCAAAATATGAAGTGTTACTTCCTCTAGCAAGTGAACTCCAGTGTGTGGGTGCAGAGTGGTGAGTGTTTGCACAAGGCTGGGAGTCGAGAGCTAATTAGAACTCTGTTCTAAATCTGGCTCAACCACACACTTGCTGGGGAGCCTGCGGCAAAGCATTTAACCTCTGGGTGCCTTTCTCAGTTACCTGCAACCAATAAACTTTCTGGGACCAAACTGTTTTGCATGTAGACCATTCACGAGGTAGCTGATTCAGCATGCCTTTAACAATACAAACTATCATACAATTATGGAGCTTCCACTGGGTGGACCTCACCTCTGCATCAACTACGGGCTCCTGATCTCTCCCTGAAAAGACTCATCAGGTCAACATAGGCAAAGTCAGGATCCAAAGTCAATGACTTAATACTGGTTTTCTTTCAAATGCACTGATTTATAGGGCTTTATTTTTTTATTTTTTTAAATTATTATTTTATATATATGTGAGTGTTCTGTCTGTATGTATGTATGTCTGGTATCACATGGATGTCTGATACCTAAGGAGGCCAGAAGAGGGTACTGGATCCCCTGGAACTGGAGTTACAGACAATTGGAAGCAGCCATGTGGGTGCTGGGAACCAAAGCCCAGCCTCCGGAAGACCAGTACAGACTCTTAACAACTGAGACACCTCTTCAGCCCTAATTACAGAATGTTCGTTCTGCAAAAGGAAGGATTTTTCCCATTTACTATAGGAAGAAAAATTGAGGTCCATTTGTCAATGTGGTAATCAAGAGTTCAAACCAAAGAATCCCATACATGTGTGTATCGAGATGTAACAGGATGGGGATCAGGATACTGCCTTTTTTCTTACAGGAAATCTGTTCGCATGCCCATTAGGCAAGGCTAATTAACTGGCTGAACACAGCAGTCAGCCCATACAGAAGTGGAGGTAGGGATGAGGAATACCGTAGGCTGGTGTACACAAAGATAGCAGCCTGATCACCTGAGCTGCCTGACAAAGGGGACAACTTCCTCCAAGGTACTTGTCAGAACAGAATGAGTGTTCACAGGATCTGGGAACACGCAGTTTCAGAAACTGCTGGAGTGGGAAGAAAAACTCACTGCCAGAGACACTTCAGGTCACCTGCCTATGGCAATCTTTTGGTCAGTACTCAGGGGTTCTCACATGCTCTCTACCTTGGCAAAAGTTGGAGCTCACAGGGAGTTTTCTGAGTTACACAATGTGATGGAGCCAGGAGAAAACCTGACTAGCAAAGTGACCTTTCTGAAGCACAAACCACGATGCTTTCTATGGCTCTCCAGCACAGAGACAGTGTGAATACGCTGATGGAGCACAGCCATGCCCACAGCAGCAGATCAGGACACTGGGGGCGTGCAGCTTGGAACTCATGTGGAATCCCGCTTTATAGGCTTGGAGTGAGCATGAAACGGCCTCACTGTATCCAGACTCCAAGAAAAGACCACTACTGTGCTGTGAGATGAGCACTAGGCTCATACAAAGTATCTGCATAGTGACCAATGCTCATAGAAACTCTGGTACATAATGACAGATATGACAAGTCGCAACTCAGGAAAGAAAATGAATAGTAAAGGGTGGTTTGCCCCGTATTCAACTGGAATCAAGACTGTACATTCAATTTCAGTCCCGGCGTCTCCATGGATATATTCTCTAAGAGCAAATACCCATAAATATTTTGAAGTGGAACACAGCAAGGAAGACAAGGGGAGAGGAGGAAAGGAGATGGGTCTGTTACTCGTTCCTTATGACTGGCCAGGCCACACACCGTGGAACTTCAATCATCTAGTGGCCTCCTCCTTACGCAGCTGCTACTGTCTTTCAAAGTCCACATCCTCCTAGATGGTATTAGTCAGTCCTTCATGAAGCTTTGCCACACTTCCCTGGTGTGACTAATTCTTCTCAAATCTATTGTGTGTGTACGTGTGGACACCTGTACATGAATCCACACATACTCTACAGTGTGTGTACAGGTCAGAGGAAAACTTAAGGGAGTCAGTTCTCTTCACCCTGTGCGTTCTGGAGATGAAATTCAGGTCATCTGGCTTGGCAGCCAGTCCCTGTGCTCACTGAGGTGTCTCTCCAGCCCGTGTGGTTGACCTTGATTGTCAACTTAATTGGATGTAGGAGTCAGACCTCTTGCTCAGTCTGACAGCATTTATAGAGAGGTGGGAAGATGAACCTATAATGGGGACAGCACCATCCTATGTGCAGGGGTCCCAGAGAGAACTGAACAGGGACAGCGAAAGGAATGCCAGAATTCATCTCTATTTCCTGGCCTCACACTCCTGCCGACATGACTTCCCCCACCATGATAGACTATACTATCAAACGATGAACCAAAATAATCCTTCCTTCCTTTCTTGTGTTGCTTAATGGTATCTGACCGCAGCGGTGAGAAAATAACTAACGTACCTGGGCGCTCTACTCTTCACCTCCCTCTTATATCTACTCAGTCTCCTCATCAATTCCCTGAGTCGGCTTCACTGACGTAGCTACACAATCAGTTTAAGGATGCTCGCAATTTCAAACATCTGCCTTCATTCTCTGACTCAGACCTGACTTCTGGGCCCTATGTGTCCAGGTACCTGGCCTACTTCATGGCTAAACTAAACTCGTGTATCTTAACCACACTCGGTTGTTCAACTGTAATATTAGCTGAGTGCCCCTGTGAACTCTTTAACCGGACATTCCAGGCCTTCTGTAGCCTTGGCTCAGTCTCTTTCCCCGGTGTCCCCCTTCTTCTGTATGCACCTTTTCTGCTCGGAACAAAAACACTACTGATGAAATTTTATGCTTTTTAAACTCTAAGTCTTTGCTGGCAACCATCACTAAGCTACTCTGCCACTTCTACCCATTAAACTCCTACCAACTCCTCAAGCGCCGCTCCAGCCCCGTCTCTGCACGCCTTCGTTTCTTTGAACTGCAACAGTATAGCTCTTGTTCCTCTCTTACATCATGTGCTGATCTTACTTCCCGGTGACTCGGGATTCCAGCCCTCTCTGATGCCAGCACCCATGCCAGCCCCTAACTACAACAGGGAATAACTGCAAGGTGCACCTAGGGACAGACCACAGAGCAACAACAAACACAACAAAGAACCCCAAATGTGCATCATACCCCAGAAGGGTTGGGGAAGTGCCTTCAGACCTAAAGATTATCATTGGCTCATAGACCTATTTGGAATTTTCTGAACACAAATGGGGTTTGGGGTATTTCCAAATATAAGCTGCAATTTCTATCATGTTTTCTCACATAATACCTCAAAATTCAGTTAACCTGTGGGGGGAAATTACATGGTTTTATTGAAAATACTCATTCCACATGCACAGTTTAGACTATGGTTTATAAAAAGTGCTTGGTGAGCCTTTTAATAAATACTTACAGTGATCTCAACAGAGAGAGGTGGAAGGAGTAATGGGACTCTTTCACCATGACGAAAGAGACCAAAATGACTCATCTATTGTCAGCTGAAGGTCCCATGGGGAAGACAAAGAAGTTCTGAAATCCCTGTCTAATTAACAAATCCTGGGGGCCACCCAGGTTCAACCTTCCAAACCGCCTTACAGCTCTCAGGTGCTGCAGCGGCAGAACCACAGCTAAGGCTGCAGCCATGCCCAGAGCCACCCGGCTCGCTGGTGGGCAAGGTCGGCAACGAGCAAGCACCAGCCGTGGACCCCAGGAGAGGGCTCCTGTTCCAGCAGTCGTCCCAGTTAGGGACATCCAGAAAGCCAGGCTCTGTAAAACAGTGGCCCCACTACCGCTAGCTCACAGTTGAGAAGAAGGGCAGAGCGTATGTGTATGTTTTCCTGGAGGAGTTAAAGCTGTGATCAAGTACTCAAGCACTACTTTAGATGTGGAGGCAGAAAACACGGATCTGCCCTTGAAGGGCTGAACAACTAGGGGACACAGGGACAAAATAAACAAGATATATGAGAACACAAGGAAGTCAAATGACAACGATGTGTACACAGGGATTCTTCCAGGAGTAAATGTTAGACCCTAAAAAAACCTGTAAGCCCCACCTGTCTAACGTCCAGGAAACCTCCTGGGATTCTGGGAGTGGTAGTTCTTCAAAAATAACAGCAAAGCCTCATGGGAAAGTATGAGTTTTGTCCATATAAGCCCTGCCGACACATGTTTGGGGTCACTCAGCTGGAGAGTTTCCACGAATGGCCCTGACCAAATTCCATCTTGTCAGTATTTAAAATTTTAATAAAAAGCTTGCTTAATTTGGCTAAAATGGTGGAACAGATTTTTCTCTGGCAAATATCAGGAATAATAGAAGCCAAAGATAAAAGAAACAAACACGTAACACACCCACACATAAATAAACCCAAAATGGAATTTGAAAAGTTACCTAGCGACCAGCTTCGGGGAGCTTAGAAAGGATGTTATGAGATGTACTTAATTGTTTTTGTTTTTTCTTTCTGTTATATTTTAATGTGCTAAAAAGCGAGGCTGGGTCTTTGCTAATGTTTCCTCAGGAGTTCCAGACCAGTGACCAGGTCGGTCTAGGCAGAAGGTGCCTCACACTGTCTGAAATGACAGACACCTTCAATGGCGGCAGGCGCATCCATGAACCGCATTTCTCCTTTTAGGACTTAATCTATGACACTGACCTTGGCTACCAATCAGCCTCTGACCACTTTAGTCCGGAAGCAAGCACAGCAGACAAGGGCAGACAAAACAACCTCTCAGTCTTCAAAGATAAGGAAAGATAAGCACAGACAACAGAAAGACTCCAGCTCCAACAACGTCAAGGCCAGAAAATCCTCGCCTGCCCTTTAGGGCTGAGGAAAAGGGTTGAAATACTAAGAGCAGCAGAGGCTATCTTTTCATCCTTCTCATTGGCCTTGAGTTTCTTTTTTAAGATTTATTTTTGTTTTGTGTGTGTGTTCATGTGGGTACATACATGTGAGCACAGGTACCCAGGTACCCATGGGGTCAGGGGCATCAGATCCTCTGCAGCTGGAGTTCCAGGTACCCATGGGGTCAGGGGCATCAGATCCTCTGCAGCTGGAGTTACAGGTACCCATGGGGTCAGGGGCATCAGATCCTCTGCAGCTGGAGTTCCAGGTACCCATGGGGTCAGGGGCATCAGATCCTCTGCAGCTGGAGTTCCAGGTACCCATGGGGTCAGGGGCATCAGATCCTCTGCAGCTGGAGTTACAGGTACCCATGGGGTCAGGGGCATCAGATCCTCTGCAGCTGGAGTTACAGGTACCCATGGGGTCAGGGGCATCAGATCCTCTGCAGCTGGAGTTACAGGTACCCATGGGGTCAGGGGCATCAGATCCTCTGCAGCTGGAGTTACAGGTACCCATGGGGTCAGGGGCATCAGATCCTCTGCAGCTGGAGTTACAGGTACCCATGGGGTCAGGGGCATCAGATCCTCTGCAGCTGGAGTTACAGGTACCCATGGGGTCAGGGGCATCAGATCCTCTGCAGCTGGAGTTACAGGTACCCATGGGGTCAGGGGCATCAGATCCTCTGCAGCTGGAGTTACAGGTACCCATGGGGTCAGGGGCATCAGATCCTCTGCAGCTGGAGTTACAGGTACCCATGGGGTCAGGGGCATCAGATCCTCTGCAGCTGGAGTTACAGGTACCCATGGGGTCAGGGGCATCAGATCCTCTGCAGCTGGAGTTCCAGGTACCCATGGGGTCAGGGGCATCAGATCCTCTGCAGCTGGAGTTCCAGGTACTTGTGAGCTACCTGACATGGGTACTGGGACTTAAACATGGAAGAGCAGTATCTGCTTCAAACCACTGAACCATCTCTCTAGCCCCTTAAATTAATTTTATTATGAACCATTACCATTAATGTGGAATGGGTTTTCCCAAAACAATTCTGCAGGGTGGGCAGGAGGGTCTGGAGAAGGCCAGCCTCTGCAGCATACACAGTAAGTTTGAAACCAGCCTCCACTACACAAAACCTGATCACAACAAACAAGCAAACAAAAAAAATCCCAGTTGTGCAATGTATAAATCCCAGGGATCTGACTGACTGATAGCCAATTGATCTGAGTGTATCACGATGATAAGTTTGTGAGAGCTAACACTTAAACACCTTCTTCAGGGAGTCGTGCCCACAGCTGTACTGAGCTCTTTACAGACATCTTGTGGAGGTGCCTTTCAGTATGGGTAGACTTAGGTTAAAGGCAAAATTAAAGGTAGCTTAACAAATGTTTAAAAAGAAAATACAGTTCTTATAATGCCTAAGACCAATGACAAGTAATAGATAGCTAATATTTACATCTTACTTATTAAGGGGCAGGCATTACAGCAAGCTCCTTGTGAGTACTGAGTTGTAAATTCTCCCAACAAGTCACTCAGGAACTGATGTCATTATTATTACCACTTGACAAGGAAACAGGAACTTACAGAGATGAAGTGGTCTGGAGTAAAAGCAACACTAAATGCATAGCCCTACATGTAACTGAAAGCCACTTAATGACCCTAAAATAAGACGAACATTTCATGTACAGGGTGCTTCAGATTTCAGTGTCAAACATCAGCAACTATAACTAATATTTATTTTTTATTGTTTTATTTGTTAATCCCATGGCCCAGGTATTTACCTGATAACTGTCATCCTTTTACCCAGGGAAATAGTTGATACCTCATTTGCAAAAAAATAAATAAATAAAGTCTATAATCTTTGTGTCATTTAAATTCTCCAAGGGAATGGTATATGAGAAGTCTCTGAACAAATAGAATAAAAAGTTGTTCTCTACTAAAGAGCTAAGTCTCAATTCTCAATGTGACCTTTGGACATATTACTTGGAATGTCTGTGAGGGTATAATAACTGTGACTTCACTTAAGTGTTTGTTGTGTGATATTTCCTTTGTATTCTAACAAACAAAGCTTGCTGGAAGATCAGAGAGTCAAACAGCTGCACTCATCAGCCTTACAGGCCAGACAGTGGTGACATACATCTTTAAATTAATCCCAGAAGCCACACTAGTTTGCCATAGAAACCGGGAGGTAGTGGTGCACGCCTTTAATACTAGCTCTAGAGAGGAATATAAAATGGGAAGAGACAGCTCTCAGTCGGTCTCACTGTGAGATTCCTGGAAGCAGTATCTCCATCTTGGACTGAGGTAGAGGTAAGAGTTGGCGGCTGGTTGTTTTGCTTTTCTGACCTTCAGGCTGAACCCCATTTTCTGTCTTTGGGTTTTTATTAATCGTGTTGCAGCCTGGAGATCAGAGAGTGGAGCTAGCCACTAGTTAACCACAGAAGCTGGGCAATGGTGGCACACAACTTTAATCCCAGCACTGGGAACTGGAGACAGGAAGTGGTAAGGTGGGATGTAGAAAGTAGAAAGTATCTCAGCTCCTTTTGGACCAAGGAATAAGACAGATAGGAAGCAACTGGCAGTTGCTCCTAGTCCTCTGATCTCCACTTTGATCTTCCACATTCTTTTATTGTTGTTGTTTTGTTTTGTTTTTCGAGACAGGGTTTCACTATAGCTATTGAGCCTGTCCTGGAACTAGCTCTTGTAGACTAGGCTGGCCTCAAACTCACAAAGATCTGCCTGCCTCTGCCTCCCGAGTGTGTGCCACTTAAAGGTGTGTGCCACCACCGCCCAGCTCTTCCTTCAATATTTGACTCCTGGTTTTTATTGATTAAGATTAATTATATTAAAGCTTCATGTGCTTTTAGAAGTGTTTACATATCCCCAACTGCCAGCCTCTTACTGTTTCCCTAAGAAAACATTTTCATTCAGCTAACAAATAAATAGAAACAGTTATAAAAGTTTGCTTAAAGGAACGCACAAAGGTTTCTGCCAAAAGAATTAAAAGAAATATTTTCAAACTGGATGTTACTACAGATAACTCAAGCATATTTTAACTAGTAAAGCATGTTCAAATAAACAACCTCCTTTTAAAGCTGACTTAAAGTTACCTTTATGTACATATAAAGTTCAAACAAAACAAAAACATGACTGATAACATTTAGTCTTATTTTAAATGAAGTAAAACTATGCCCATTTTAATACTTCCACTCACCAAAAACAAAACAAAAGGACAGCCACCACAGGTGATCCTCCTCCTGTGAAGGGTACCTAAATGGACCACAAGATCTAGAGTTGCAGGCTTGGGGCTCAGTTTTCTATGCACTGTTACCGAGTGTGATCTGGGGCCAACTTCTTGAACCTGAACTTCAGTTACTTTGTCAAAGTATAGGGCAAATACTTTTAAGGCTGTGGAATGCAAACCAAATACCAGAATGCTATGCTTTATGAACACCAAAGCAGGGTACAAGATGCCCCTGGGTATCTGCTACCAAGGAAAGGATTGCCACATTCTCTCTTAGAAAGGGTGGTATTGGTGATCTGCTTCAGAAGCTCTGACAGAAAGCCTTAATCTACTCAAGCACTCCTTCTGCAGAGTGAAAGGCAGCAGGGACCTTGAAGTGAAGGGGTTCTATGGGGCATGCACCGCACGCACCATCAAAGAAGAGCCTTGCAGATTCAGATCAGCGCATCACTCAGCCTGCAGCAGGGAGCTTTCTGCAGTGACTGGAATCAATACAGAGACTCAAAGCCGGACAACAGGCAAGAGAGTGAGAGATTCTGGGGAGCTCATCCCCTAGATGAGATAGGTGTCTTCATCAGCCCCCACCCCTACAGGTGTAGGGATCTGTGAAAAAGGAGGCAGGGAGACTACAAGAGCCAGAGGTGGTGGAAGACTCCAAACAAAGAGTATTTTCAGACACAGCAGGACTGATGTACACACGGACTCACAGGACTGTGACAGGCACACAAGATGGGGAAGTGGATACCTAGTCTCACCTCTAACCAAAAAGCTATGTGTCGTTGATGGCAGCTGGGAAAGGGAAATCCGTTTTCTCCAACAAAGCATATCACCCACACCCTAGGGCTAATAAATGACTCCATGTTTGTTATCTGTGCACTTTTTCTTTCAGTGTTTTTATCTCACCAGGTCTTGTTTTCTGACTTACGGGTTTCTCAGAGAGAGGGAGAGAAAGCATGAAGTTGTGTGGGTGGGGAGATGAGGAAGATCTGAGAGAGTAGGGAGAGAAAAGAATATGATCAAAAATATGCTGTATGCAAAGTTTTTAAAATAAAACAAAAAGAGAGCTCTCCCCAAGGAGAACTATAAACAAGGCCCTCTCCTGCGCTCTAAGCCTCTCTACATGCAGGCAACATCCCTCCTTTCTCTGTCATCTGGGTTTCTGGGAAATTTGATCTTTATACTTTCAGGCTTTACTTTTCCCCACCCATCCACTTTCCCACAGTAAGCAGTCTGGTTCTGCCCAGGTGAAACTTTATATGCATAGGTCTCTGGCAATTTCTAGATGGCCGAATCCAGGAGCCTTCTTACAGTGACTCTGACTGACACTCGACAGTGTGACCTACGAGGTCACTTTGCACTACCCTCAGGAGTCCATGGCACAGCCACCTCTGCCCTTCCTCCTTTGTCCTGTTCCTGCTCAGGTGATAAACACCCCTCAGGCCACTTGCCCAGCGTCTCTTCCATCCCTCTGATACGCTCCGCGTCTGTGGCTTTAGCTACAATCCACGTGGAAGATGGAGAATATTCTCATGAGCTCTAGTTACACTATTTGTAACTACTTTTTATATATGCCCTGATTCCTACAATTCACAACCAACTCCTCCTTTTACTTCGAGGCTGCCTCCTCCAAACATTTGCTACAGAGAAAAGGACACATCCCTTAATAAAGATGAATATCCACGCTGGCATTTCTAGCTGACTCACCAGCGACCAACACAAATTAGCAAGCTCCAGGAAGCCTACCTCTGTGGTATCCACCAAACCTACCCACAGCTCTGTTTCTCTACTACCAAACCTCCAGGCGATGTTCTAACCCATTCACCACACCGCCACCCAAGTGGGCTTTCAGAAATCAAACCGCGGGGTTGGTATGTAAAATAATATTAATAAAAAAATCAAAACCCTGTTTCCTTCTGCATAGACATTACCCAGGGAGCCCACACCCCTTTCCTCCCAGCCCCCAGTTCTTCAATTTCCCTCTATGCTCCCACCACAACCCTCCTGTCTCATACAGAATTTATAGAAATTAGAGTCTCCCTGTTTCTTCTCCTGGAAGCCCTTTTCCTCCACCACGTTTACAACGTTTACACTGTTCTTCCCAAGGTTCCCCACTCCAGCGGCTTGCATCTAATCCCAGTCCATTCAGACCTGCCTTTATCTTCCCCTGCAACATCCTGACGGCCTTCATTAACAGGTCAGATGCCCCCAACAGGGCCTGCTCTCCTGTCTGCCCTAACTGTGAGCTTCATGAAGTCAAGGACTGTTGCTGTCTTGTTCAAGGTTTTTATCACAATACAGACCGCACAGTGATTAACTAATTACCTACAAGTAAACTGGATAATACAAAACAAGGCAGCTTTAGTTTGAATTGAATTACAAACTAGTTCCTCTACTCAAGATAACTAGATAGAAATAAACCTCTTCCCTCTCATGAATGCTGCATAGGACTGGTTGTCCTTAGAGCAGCAGTCTGTCCATGTCTGTCACTTTGTCTGTAGTTTTGTTGCTTAATTGTTGCTCTGTGTTTCATATTTTTTTTATTTAAAAAAAAAAGGCAGTTCTTTGACAAAAGCTGACAAGCTGGCTCTGTTATGGGAGTGCTGAACCTGCAGCTCCTTTAAAATGAGTATCACCACTGTGGGTCCCCCTCCCCCCCACAGCTTAAGATAATTAAATGACAATGTGGGTTGCAGAAAGGTACTTGGTCTGATGGGCAGCTTTCTCCAGTGCCAGTGAGACTAGAACCAACAGGTAACAAGACACCCCTCCTTAAAATTATAGCTACAAAGGTTTAAAAAAATGTTGTCTGTTTTAATATCTGAAAGTATGAATGTGGCCACTGCATGCTTATGTCTGACTGGGCTTGAATGAATGAGTTTACTGTGTTCTGTATGTTTCAGTTACAATTCAGCCGTTTACTGTTGCAGCCAAGCCCCCCCACCCCCTCCCCCTTCCTGGGCTTAAAATTTCTGTCTGGGTGTTCTGGCCATTGGCACTAATGTAACAGGGATCCAAATGTCACCTGGGTATAGATAATGTTAAAGTTGTTTCGTACTGTTCTGTTAATTAAAGAGCTGGCTCTGGAATTGGGGTATGGCCCACCATTTTTCAGACCCAGACTTGCTTTTAAAATTTCTGGGGTCAAAAATTGGTAGACAGGAAGAACAAGAGCAGAGCAGCTAAAAAATTACTGGTTTGTAAATTTATTGGACATGGCCAAAAAACCTGTAATATTTGTAACAAAAAGGTTAACTCAAAACTTTAACACAGGGTTGATAATCAAAAGTCCTCATAGGTAGCCTCAAAACAAAGATCCAATCCATCAACATCTACAGTTCTGGGCAAATACTCACATGTGCTAAACTTGCTCTTCAACCCCTTTAGCTCTGCTCATGACTGTTTTTGAACTGAAATATGTCAACCCCAAAACATGGTGTTTATGTTTAAAGGCTCACCCCAAGAAAGAGGCAATACTACACTGAAATCCCAAACACCCTGTGTTCTCACTGGCCTGGGATATGTCTATATTGTGATGCAATAAGACAGTGACCTTAACAGTATGGAAAACAACTTGGAACAGTTTTACAACCTCAAGACTCTGGGGTTCAAGACCTTTATACAGGAGTAGCCTAGAGTCACTTGCATGTCAAATGTTTGCACAGCAATGCATCACAAAAAGTTAAAAACCACTGGCTTAAAGAATGTCTCTCTTACGACTGAGTCAAGTTTACAAAAACTGGTTTAAAGTTGTATGTCTAACCTCTTTGTTTTTGTCAGCATTGTTAAGCCATGGTTATTTTGGCAAACTGAGTCACACAAGAAACTGTTATGTTTCTATAATGGTACACTAACGATCAGAAATATTTCCAGTCTGCTAGTAGACTATATTTATAAATTAAAAGTCTTACCTTGATACTAAAAAGACCTTCAATTCAGAAATTGTTATTTTTATTATAAACTATTAAAGATGATTAAGTCTTAAAACATTAACAACTATATTTATAAGTCATTCTAAGGACTAATGTAATCAAGAACAGGAAAATTTTATCTATTCGCTTATGTTTTCAAGGTATAGTCTAAAACAAGTAACTAAAAACAAACAGAAACTGTTTGACTCAAGTTGTCAAACTGTCAGAGATTTGTTGAGTATGGCATTTAAGATACTTAAACTTAGACAGACAGACACTCAGATCCTAGCAGTGACTCCCAGGGGCTCCAATGGACAATTATGGTAATGGGACTGATGTGGGGTTCCCCTCTGTATGTTATGAATATGTTTTATTATTATTGGTTAATAAAGAAGCTTCCTTGGCCTATAGCAGGGCAGAATATAGGTATGTGTTAAAATAAGGGTGGTGGCGGGGCTGCGTCCCCAACACCCCGGCCGCTTGGCTAGCTCATGCCCGAAATAACAACACACAAACTGTATTCATTTAAGAACTGCTTGGCCCATGAACTCTAGCCCTTACAGGCTAATTCTCGCACCTGGACTAGCCCATTTCTAATGATGTGTGTAAGCACCCCAAGGTGCGCTTACCGGGAAGAGTCTAGCCTCCGTCCATCCTGGTGTCTCTGCTCCTCCAGAGGGCAGAGCTGTCGAGTCTCTCTGGGAGAAGAGCAGAGTCTGACCTCACTTCCTCTTCCGCCCAGCATCCTATTCTGTTTATTCCACCCACCTATGTTCTAAGCTATGAGGCCAAGCAGTTGGTTTATTATAACTAACCAATGACCTTCCCCCATCAGGTAGGTAGGTAGGAAAAAACTGAATGCAGGGAGAAAGAAGGCAGAGTCAGACAGATGCCATGTAGCTGCCAAAGGAGAAAGATGTCAGAACATTACTGGTAAACCACAGTTTCATGCCAATGTACAGATTAGTAGAAATGGGTTAATTTAAGATGTTAAGAGTTAGCTAGAAATATGCCTGATCCATTGGCTAAATAGTGTTGTAATT